AAAAAAAGAGGACACAAAGTTGGGAGGGAGAGGGGACCTGGGAGGAGTTGGGGGAGGAGTGTGGGGTGACCATAGTAAAAATACATCGCATTCCAGGATGGAGAGAGGGCACTGCAATTAAGAACACTGCCTGCTCTTCCAGAAGTCCCCCATTCAGTTCCTACCACCTACATGGCAGCTAACAACAGTCCGTAACTCCAGTTCCAGGAGATCCAACACCCTCTTTTGGCCTCTGTGGTCATTCCACACACGTGGTACACTTACAAATATGCAGGTAAAACACTTATACACATAACAATGAAAAAAAATACATTCTATGCATGTATGAAATTCTCAATAAAACTATTATAAGTTAAAAAGAAATGAACTCATTATAAATAGGATGTAACATATTATATGGATTTATGGTTATTTATTAAATATTTGTGCTGTACACAGTGCTTTGCAAGAATTAAATCCTGTAAGCTACCCAGTGTAGAAAGATCAATTTCGCTCCTCCTCAGTGTGGACTTACATATTATAATCAACCCACTTTTGATAAGTATTGGCGCTTTTCCCACCGCCCTCTAATGGTGATAACTCTGGGCAACAACCTTTGCTCACATCTAGTTATTTCCTTTGCAAATTTGGGAACTACTGCTCACGCACATTTGAAACCCGGTTTGCTCATCCTTGCAGTTAGAGAAATGGAGGAAGGGCTCCCAGAAAGTAACATACTCAGCTAGCTACAAAGTTGGGACTAAGGCCCAGCCTGGTAGCAGGGCCTGTAATACCAGGAGAGGTTGAGGCCAGGGCATAGCAAGTTTGAGGGACACCTGGAGGATAGCGAGAGTTTAAGTCCAGTAGTGGCAACTTAGTAAGACCTTGTCTCAAAAGAAAAAGAGAGCCAAGCGTGGCGGTGCACACCTTTAATCCCAGTACTCCCGTGAGTCTAAGGTGGGAGGATAGCCATGGGTTCGAGGCCAGCCTGTGCTAACCTGTCTCAAAAAACAGAAAAAGTTGGGACTAGGGCCTGTGCAAAAATAACAAAAATCCTCTTAGGTCCGAGTAATTTTTGCAGTGGGGACTGAAGAAGTCCCAGCTGGAAGAGGAGGGTAAGACAGGGAAAGAACTGGGCGCTAGCGCCCGCGCACCGGCGGAAGGCAATGCAGCCAGCTAGGCAGGAGGGCTGGGCAGCTGATCCAGCTTCTGCTGCTCCCGTGGTTGCCTGGCAACACGGGTGGCGCGGCGTTCGAACGGAAGCGACGGACCAATCAGGAAGTCCGGGGCGAACCATTACGGCGGCGGGGGCGGCGTGCTCACTTCCTTTTCCTCCCGGCCCTGGGGATCTTCGTCCGACCCGGCCAGTGGCTCAGCCAGGGAGTCCCGCTCGGAAGAGCTCGCGGGTCCCCACGCGCTCTGGCCAGGTCCAGTGTCAGCCTCTGGGCGCCCGAGGAGCGGGGACCCACTCGGCACGGCTGCAGGTGAGCGCGGGTGTGGCGGGTGTGACGGGGTCGCGGCGATGCCTGGAGCTTTCTCCCAGGCGGGTGTCCCAGCCCGGGGTGTGTGCGGGTGTGTGCGTGTGTGCGTGCGTGCGTGCGTGCGTGCGTGTGTGTGTGTGTGTGTGTGTGTGTGTGTGCGCGCGCGCGCGCGTGCGCGCCGGCGGCAGAGGATCCAGGTCCAGTGTCCCCGCCTACCTTGCAGCCTCTACTCCAAGCAGATCATATTTGCCTTGAGAGGAGCAGGCTGGTCCTGCTGGTCACTTATGACAGGGACCCTGCATGGGGATCCCGGGACTGGACCACCCCCGCCGCATCCCACCCCGTCTTTGCAGTTCTTCTTCCGAGCATCTTTCTTTCCCCAGGGGCCGGCCTCATTGGGAACCCTTCGGTCTATACAGTCCAGAATCCCAGCGCTGCCCTGTCAGAGGGCCTCTCTGGGTTAGATTCGGGAGGGCAGCAGAAAAACATCACCTGGAAGTTGTTAGGGCCTTTTGGGAATCTGCTCCAGATGGGTATCCCCTAAGCCAAAGCTGCTAGTCACCAGACTCTGAGATTGGGGACCTCCCCTGAGGAGCATCTAATTTAGGTGGACTCTATTCCCCCTTAGGTTGCTGTTGTTGGTAAGGAAACTGAGGTTCTGAGAAGTTGAGCCCCTTGCTCAAAGTCACAGACTTGATTAAGCAGGAGTCCGCTGTGTGTCTTCTAGCCCTAGTCATGGGAATCATTGGATTTGAGTAAGGAATCTCTTCTGAAGGGTATTGCCCATCCTTTTCTTGGACCCTATCCTGGCTCTGGGCCGGCCTCAAACTTACTATGTGCACCAGGCTGGCCTTGGATTCCTGATTCTCCTGTCACTATCGCCTTTGATCTCAAGCATGTGCGGCTATTACATCCCAATTTTATGGGATGGAACCCAGGGCTCTGGCATGCTAGGCAAGCTCATGCTAACAGCTGAGCTATACCTTCCGCCTCATTCATCCTTTCAACAGACATTTCCTGACATCGTGTAGCCCAGCCTTGCCCTTGCTTGCCTTACTTTTCTCAGCAGCGTTTGCTCCATCTTGTGCCCTAGATTCATTTATCATTACCCCCACCAGAATGTGACAAGGAGAATGAAGTACTCACCATGGGTACAAAATGTAGGGGTATCCCAAACTGCTACATCAGGATGATCAAAGCCAACATCTGTTGGCCATTTGCTCTGTTGTGCTAGGGATGGGGTGGGGTGGTGTCGGCCAAGACAGCGTCTATAGACCAGGAAAAAAACCAAATTACTAACATTTCTCCCTTCAAGAAGCAGTTTATGGTTGGAATGCAGCTCAGTAAGGGAATGTTTGCCTAAGTATGATCCTAAGTAAGACCCTAAGTATGATCCCCAATCACATAGACACACATACACACATACACACACATTTGGTGATTCCAGCACCGGGGATGCTAAAGCAGGAGGTTCATGAGTTCAAGATAGCCTGGGTGCCAAGCTTGGTGGTGCACACTTTTAATCCCAGCACTCTGGGTGCAGAGGCAGGTGGATCTCTGCAAGAGCAAAGTCAGTCTAATCTATGTAGAGAGTTCCAGGCCTGCTAGGGCTACAGGTCTGTTTAAAAAATGATAATAAAAAACCCTAAACAACAACAAATAAAAACAAGATCCACAAAACAAAACAAAAAAACAAGACAAAGCCCTCAAAAAACAACAATTAGTATGGTTTTAAGTGGCCAAAATTCTATTTTCAGTTATGAGCCTACAAATGTGAACAAAGCTTTATATGTGTAAAATGACACTCAGTGAAGGTATGTAGTTCCAACAATTTTTATAACACAATTAATTTAAAAAGTAAATTTTCATATGTAAAATACTGCATATTAAATATATTATGAATTTGAGGTTGGAGAGATGGCTCAGCAGTTAAGAGCACTGACTGCTCTTGCAGAGGACCCAGGTTCGATTCCAAGCACCCACATGGTGGCTATGAACCGTCCTTAACTCCAGTTCCAGGGGAATCTGAAGCCCTCTTCTGACCTCCGAGGCATTGCACAACACGGGTGCACTCACACACATGCAGGCAATACACTCATACATATAAAACATAATAAATAAAATATAAAAAAAATATATGTAGCCGGGCATGTTGGTGCACGCCTTTAATCCCAATACTCGGGAGGCAGAGGCAGGTGGATCTCTGTGAGTTCAAGGCCAGCCTGGTCTACATAGTGAGTTCCAGGACAGCTGGGGCTACAGGGAGACCCTGTCTCAAAAAGACCCCCCCCCCAAAAAAAACTATTCTCAATTCTTTTGGATGTATTTTTAGAAGCGGTATTAACAGTCATATGATAAGCCAACTTTTACTTTAAAAAATTTTTTTTATAATTTTTATTTTATGTGTACGAGTGTATTACCTGCGTGTATGTGAGTGCACCCGTGTCGTGCAATGCCACGGAGGTCAGAAGAGGGCTTCAGAGTCCCCTGGAACTGGAGTTAAGGACAGTTCGTAGTCGCCGTGTGGGTGCTGGGAATCGAACCCGGGTCCTCTGCAAGAACAGTCAGTGCTCTTAATTGTTGAGCCATTTCTCCATCCCCCCAACTTTTACTTTTTGTGGTAGTGATTTTAAACAGGCTCGCGCGGAACCCCGAAGGCGACCAGGTCCGCAGCCCTGAAGCCCCTACTGTGGCTGCTGCGAGCGGCCCTGCAGTGTGCGGCCGCGGACACTCACCTGTGCCTGGAGCCCATCCCGGTCTCCGGCGGGTGTCGCGGGTCCCTGACGTCCCCTCCGGTGCGCTCCTGGGGCCACTTTCCGGGGCGGAAGTCAGCCTGCTCCGGCTCCGGTGGAACCTGCTGGGAGGAAAGGCGCCGCCGGGTGAGGCGTTGCGCATGGCTCAAGAGTGGGGCCCCGCGGCCGGCACGCCTTGGCTCGGGCTCTGTGGGGTCGAGGGTGTGACGGAGGGCTGGGCGCTGGTGAAGTGCCCGCGGCCTGAAGGGCTTATGGGGCCAGTGCAGCGCGTGGCTACGGGCCCCCGCGAGGCCCAGCGCTAACCGCGGCCGAGCTTAACCCCGGCCTTGCGTACCCAGGTTCATCTGAGTGGTACTGTCGCCCGAGAGCGATCCCGGAGCCACTCTTGACAGCCTCAGAGCTTTTGACCAGGGCGCTCGACTTTCTTTGCTCTGTAGGTGCCTTTTCATTGGCGGAGACAAGAGAGAATCGCTCAGGTCTTTCTGGGAGCGTAGAGCCTAGCTTCTGAAGGGATACCCGTGCAAACTTGTGTCAGGCCACGTAGTCATTGTGGGACCCGGTGCCAGGGACTTGACCCCTCTGCACCTCCGTCTCTCATTTTGGTATATGCTTCATGAGGTTGTGTTAAATGGTATTACTTCTAACAGTGCAGGGCACTCACAAAGTTCACTTCTTGGGTAGTTACTGAAGTGACGCTCAGTGCCTTTTTTTTTTTTCCCCTTTTAAATCGCTATTTGGGTGTGTACCCTTGCTATTCCCACTGGACAGATAAGAAGCTGGAATCCCAGAAGAAGGAAGTAATTTGTCTAAGGCAACAATGGGCAAAGCTCGCCACTTAACTGTCTGAGGTAGTAAAGCAGTTAAAGTCAGAATTGGATTGAAACTATCTCCAGTTTGAATCCCAGTTATGTATCTTAGGGCAGGTAACTACTTAGGAGCTTTGATTTTTTCTCTGTGTCTAGATAGGGTCTAGGGGACTGGAGAGATGGCTCAGTGTAAACTTGGGGATCTGAGTTTGAATCCCGAGCACTGGGCCTGGGCTGCTGCATGTACCCTAACATGGTGGGGCAGAGACATCAGATTCCAAGATTTTCTTGGCTGGCCAGCCTGGCCAAAATGGCAAGCTTCCGTTTCCATGAGAGACCCTGTCTCAAGGCATAGATCAATAGAGGAGGACAGCCTACATCTTACTCTGGCTCTGCATGCATGCACACACACACACACACACACACATTCACACACTTAAACATGCATGCATCACAACACACAAATAGGTAGGGACTCTCTATGTAGCCCAGGCTGACCTCACACTCAGCATCTTGCCTCTGCATCCTCAGTCCTGAGATTATAGGCATGAACTAGGGCTGGCTTAGGTTTCTTGGTCTGTAAAATACAGAAAATACCCATTCCATTTGATGTTGGAAGGATTTAATGACTCATGCAAAAAGTTCAGCGTAGTTTGGGCCTATATGACAAATGTTGAGTGTTCAAATATCAGCCAGAAAAGTTACTGCTATTGTTAACCTGCAGTGGGAAGGTTAGGATTATGGCACAGATGCTATACTCCAGGAATTTACAGTTTAGGTGGAGAAATGAGTCATAGTCACTCACTAGGTCAAAATATATTGAGTACATGATTGTCCACTGGGCATTGGGAATTTTTGCCTTAGTGCCTTGATGCCTAATTTCTGCATCTACCTATCCATTAGCAATTCTTTTAGGCTTTGACTTCTACTTGTAGCAAGATTGGCCACTTGGCACCTCCACAGCTGTTACCCTGTTTGAATCATTTTCTCTGTTTACTTGGATCGTGGCAGTACTCTCTTAGCTGGTATTCTTTCTGTCTTTGCCCCTACTTAGTCTAATCTCAACACGGTATCATCCTCAACAGAGCAATCCTGTTAACAAGCAAGTCAAATCACTCCTCTGCTCAGAACTTTGCAATGGTTCCCGTCTCACTCAGTTCTGCTACCTGTTACCTTGTTCCTTACATCTCATGCTTTGCTTACCTCCTTCTTTCTATACTTGTCCTTGCTGGTCTCAGAAAACAGTGCCAGGCGTGTTGGCACACACCTTTGATCCCAGCACTGGGGAGGCAGAAGCAGGTGGATCGCTATGGGTTTGAGGCCAGCCTGGTGTACATGATGAGTTCCAGGCCAGCCAGGGCTGCATAGTCAGACCCTGTCTCAAAAAGACAAACAACAACAAAATGACAACAACAAAAGCTATATGCTCCTGATTCAGTCTTTGCACCCACTTGTTAAAAATCTCTGCAGAGGTAGCTCTGTGGCTTGCTTCTTTTTCAGGTCTGCACTCAGTATCTGTTTTTTTCTTTGAGCCTTCACAAACCATCATGTTTAAAAGAGTCTTCCCAAGATACCTGTTATTAGTCAGGGTTCTCCAAAGAAACAGAACCGGTAGAATGAATATGTATAGAGATTTATCAGCTTAGCTCACAGGATAGTCTGAGTAGTCCAACAATGGCTGCACCACCCCACAGCGAGAGAGAAGGCAAGCTGCAAAAAGCCCTGCGTTCTCCTCTGCCTTGGTCTTTTATACGGCTGCCATCAGAAGTTAACACCCACATTTAGGGTGTGTCTTCCGGCTTCAGATGATCCAATCAAGAAGATCTTTTTCATTTCAGTTAATCTCAGATCTAATCAAGTTGACACCCAGGATTAGCCATCACAATACCCATTCTGTTCTTTAAGGCAAGCTGCAAAAAGCCCTGCGTTCTCCTCTGCCTTGGTCTTTTATACGGCTGCCATCAGAAGTTAACACCCACATTTAGGGTGTGTCTTCCGGCTTCAGATGATCCAATCAAGAAGATCTTTTTCATTTCAGTTAATCTCAGATCTAATCAAGTTGACACCCAGGATTAGCCATCACAATACCCATTCTGTTCTTTTTCTCCCTCGTGCCTTTTGTCTTCCAACATGATAAATCATGATTCTTAATTATTTTGTGTGATGTCTTTTCCCCCCCACTAAATGTAAGCTGTATGGGGACACTACATTTTCACTTTTTAAAAATATTTTATTTTTATTTTATGTGTATGAGTGTATTGCCTTCATGTATGTGAGTGCACCTGTGTTGTGCAATGCCGCAGAGGTCAGAAGAAGGCTTCGGATTCCCCTGGAATTGGTGTTAAGGATGGTTCGTAGCCCCCATGTGGGTGCTGGGAATTGAATCCCGGTCCTCTGTAAGAGGAGTCAGTGCTTTTTTAAAAAATTAATTAATTAATTAATTTTTTATTTTATGTATATGTGTGTATTGCCTGCATGTAGGTAAGTGCACCTGTGTCATGCAATGCCCACAGAGGTCAGAAGAGGCTGTCGGATCCCCTGGGACTGGAGTTACGGACAGTTGTTAGCTGCCATGTGGGTGCTGGGATTCGAACCCAGGTCTTCTGCAAGAACAACCAGTGTTCTTAACCTCTGGGCCATCTCTCCAGCCCCCATTTTTACTTTTTAATGCCTAAAGTAGTACTTGGGGTTCAATCCCTAGCACTGAAAAAAAAAGTTGATGGCACACAGGAGCATTCAATATATATTTGATGGACACTGCACATTATATGTATATTATATATGTTATATTTCTGGGGTTTTTTTTGTTGTTGTTGTTTTGCCTTTTTGAGACAGGGTCTCCCTGTAGCCCCAGCTGTCCTGGAACTCACTATGTAGACCAGGCTGGCCTTGAACTCAGAGATCCGCCTGCCTCTGCCTCTGCCTCCCAAGTGCTGGGACTACAGGTGTGCACCACCACGCCCGGCCATGTTTGTTCTTTATTTAGGGGGCTTAGAGGTGCTAAGAATCAAACTCGGGAAACGCTTCTCACTAAGCTACACTGGACCACCCTGGCACTCTGTTTTTTTAGGACTTTCATTTAAGTTGACAAAGATTTAAATGAAACCATTGTTCATCGTACAGTGATTCTCGATATATGTGTCCTTCTATGATATTCTAATAAAACAAAAAAGGAGGGGCAGTGAGATGACACAGGGAGTTAAGAAACTTGCCACTAACCCTGATTGATGACCTGACATCAGTCCTAGGGACACACGTGGTAGAAGGAGAGAACCTCCACACATGCACCATGGAGTGAGGGCACACACATACAAAGTAATTTT